ATTGAATGAATACTGGATTTGATGGTTATTTGGATTCTTGATGGAGTTTTTGCTCGAAATGTTTCTTGGATGGTATGTCTAGATTGGTTTTTTCATGGCTATGATGTTCTTTGTGTATAGTGTTCTTCTATAAATTGATTGTTTTCTTGTTTGCATTTGCAGCAATGTCTTGTTTGACCAATTTGTATGAGACACAAAGTATTTTACATTGATAAGTGATTCGGATACATGTTGACATGAAACAATTTTTGGCAAATGATTTAAATGAAACTGAGGAGAAGTTGTTGTGATGGTTAGTTTTCTTGGTATCTTATATTTACCTTTAAAGACCGCTGAAGGGAATCATAAGTACAATCATTTTTCTGATCATGCCATAATTTCTATTCTCACCTCTGTTCCGATTCTTATATACGTCTTACATTTGATTGGTAGAAAAGCATTTCAGAAAAAGCTGCAGAGGAACGAACAAAGGAGGTGAAGGAGAAATTGGAAATATTGAATGAGAAAAAACACAGTTTGGTACAAGTGCTGAAACAGGTAAAATATATATTTTTGTTGCATTTATACCATAATAAATGATTCCCTTGATTTTTGCTTATATAATCATAGAAATGGGTTATTCTTCTACTTCTCTTTTAAAGATTTTGAGTGCAGAAGAGAAGTTAAAGAGAGGTGAAGCCGATGACTTTTCAAATCATAATACAACTTCTCATCACTTACCTCGCACGAGCTGTACTTCACCATCCTCCGATTCTCAACAGCGGAAGCCTAGCTCTTCCATGGTAAAAAAGAAATTTATTCGTTTGAGATTCGAGATTTTATTACCCAACAAATCAAACCATGAAATTTAGCGTAAATCGGAGCCTACATTAAATAGCTTTTGGAAGTCAGAAGAGTCTTTGTAACAATAGTTGGTGATTTTCAGGTACCTCACTCTTACCGGGCCACTATGAGTGTTGTCGGTAGTCCTTCACGGTTTGCACCCGCTGGTCAAAGTAAAAGTCAAGGTCAAGGTCAAGGTCAAGGTCAAGGATTGTCGGTTCTTGCTGTTTCGGCTACGAGTTATGTAGTTTCGTCTCCTTCTCCTGCTGCATCGGGTGGTACCTCTGTCTTTAGAGAGGCCATGAATTAGAGAAAAAACTCAATTATCAGCTAGCTTTTTGTTGTTGCAACTTGTACTTCTTAAGTTTTAACCTTTGCTATTGGCTTCCAATTGCCTGTTATTAAAAAAAAAAAAATGTTGATGGAACATTTCAATAATTATGACTATAATCTTGAAATGTCATAACTAAAACTATATAACTTATAACGTGAATGAACTTTTAAAAAAAATTGCAAGCAAGCCGTCAGAATTTCATGTACCGTTCGGCTTATGTTTGTATAGTTCAAATTAATATCTCGAGGAGTTCAAATTAAAAGGTCGTACACAGAACTCAAAGAGGTAACTATAGTATCTGAAAAGGGTTTGTTTACTCAATTTTAAAAGATGATTAGGTGTGATAACTCGTGCTCAGACATTATATATATACTTACTCCATCTTTGCTGTATATTAATTATTCTTACTGAATAAAACAAAATAAAAGTTGCACAATTTTTCGCACGAGTGAACCACAGGGTGCCAATGACAGTCCAACACAGCGGTGAATAATCAAAAGAACAATTAAGAGTTGGCTCAATGAAAACAAGAAAGATATTGTTTTGAATTTGGCTCAAAGAAACATATAACAAAACCTAATTCAATTAATTCACATTTCTACTATTATGAACAATTAGTATGAGTTACATTACATATTCATTCCCTCTTGCAATTTATACAAGTAGGGTCTGGCCACAACTCGCCGGCCAGGTGGCGCAAAGCGGGGCCTCGTTAAAACCCGATCCAAGTAAAACCCGTGTGGGAAAAACCTTCGACCAGGAAAAAGAGTACCCCATAAATCAGAAACTAGAAGAAATACATATGAAAATTGAGTCCCGAATCACTTAGTTAGCAGCAATAATGGGCACATCAGTGGTGGAGCAGTCTTCCTTCCAGAAAAATCGGCCATCGTCAGGTAGATTGTCCCACAGAGAGGGCTCGTCGGCCGGCAGCTCAAAGTCAAAGAAATCCATCAGCTCCTTTTCGAAACTATCGTCTACGGGATTCGACTCGTTCTTCTCGTCATCAATAGGCTTCTCGATGCAATCCATACTCTCCTCGAGCTCGCGAATCCAATCCTCGTCATCAATAGGCTTCTCGAGGCACTCACCATCATCGTGATCCATACTCTCCTCCAGCTCACGAACCCAATCCTCGTCACCAGTCTCTTGAGTGCCCGACTCTCCGAAAACCACGTCATCATGATTATCCATAATACTCTTCTCCAACTCACCAACCCAATCCTCGTCGTTCGCCTCTTGAGTGCCCGATTCTTCGAAAACCACATCATTGACCAAAGGCGGCAAACAATTAGCAGCAACACTCTCAACTTCATCGTGATTATTCATAATACTCCCCTCCAACTCACGAACCCAATCCTCTTCGTGAGTGCCAGATTCTCCGAAAACCGCACCATCAACCGAAGGCGGCAAACAACTACTACTACTGCTCAATAGAAGATCCAGCTCGTGGGCCCAATCCACCGTCTCCTTCGAACCCGACTCTCCAAAAATCACACAATCGGCAGGAGGAATCGACACAACAACACACGAAGAACACGAACAATTGGTCGAGCCCTTCCCCTGCCATTTTCGCTTGAGAACACACAGAGCATAATTCTTGGAATCTTCTTTAATGGCGTTGGACTTCAAGGCGGTGTCGGGAAGAACGTACTCCGTCATCAGCCACACATAGTCGTCGTCTTCGCAGGAGTTAGTCTTGGCCGGCCGGTACCTGAAAGTTCTCCTGTAGCCTAAGATCACGCCTTTGTCGTCACCGAAAATTGGGGTGGCCTGGCCTTTGTTGGACCAAGTCCCCCCTTTCCCCACGTTGCGCGAGAATCTCTTTCCGGTTTTCTTCAGCCTCGTGAAGAAGTAGCGCTCCTTTTCGCGGCGGTCGGCGTCTCCGAAAATGTCGCGGGGCTCTTTCGGGCCGTAAAAGTCGTCCGTGGCTATGAACTTCTCCTCCGTCATCGGTCTACCGATGACTTTGTTCAGCAGATATGTTATTCTCTCGGTTTCTGAAGGAGAGAATCGAAAACCTTTCGACATGTTGTTGTTGTGAATCGAAAACCTACGTAGTTATGTTTATATATTGATGAGATGAGATTTATGTTTGTTTTCTTCGTTGGCTGAGTTTTGTGAAATATGCGGCGATTGCATTTACATAGATTATATAAAGGGATTTTGGGCTAGTTTAGTGGGCTTGGTTAGCCAAATATGCACTAAGCTTCTTTTATTATTTTTTCTTAAATTATAATTTTTAATTTGGACATACGATATATTTATTTCAACGTGTTACATATTTTTAGTTAAGTTGCAATAGTTATATAAAAAAGTGATTCTTTTGAAAATATTTGATTTGACATAAATATCACATATAAGCTTTAAAATTAATTTCATCTATCTGTACAAATGAAATTTAAATTTATTTATCAAATAAATTAAATTAAGAATAAAAATTTATATTATCTTACCAAATAAAAAATATTCAAGTAGACATACCATAAAATAACTATTTTTTTGTATTTCTATAATTTTGAAAAAAAAATGAACAGATTAAGCATAATCATAAATGAATATAAATAACACTACAACAAAAATTATTAAAAATCTATTTGTATACAACATTATTAGTTTGATTACTCAGTAATTCATCGTCTCCACATACTAATATTTTCTCGTTGTAGCACCAATTTGGTTTCATTTTTTAAATAAATTTGAATTAAATATTTAATATATATTTGTTATTTTTAAATGATTATTTAAATTGTATATATTTCATAACAATATGTAAATCATATTTCCTTAAAGATTAAAATTCTTATTTATCCTTTTTATTATTGCATTTTCATTAAAAATATTAACTGACAAATAGTTTTATTTTTCTAATTAATATTAAAAAAATTATTATTGATATAAAGAAAAATATAATTTATTTCTTTTATACATACAATATGGATGTTAAATCGAAGCTTATCAAAAGATGATTAATTTGATATATTATATATGTAAAACTGATAAAAAAATACAAAAGTTATTAGCTTTTAATATACATTTACAATTCAATAGTTATAATAAGAAATGATATTAAAATGCAATTAATACATGTAACATGACCATAACTAATCAACATATTTATAGATAATTTGGACCTAATTATTTTTGGAATAGAAGCAAATTAAAATCTACCCAAGTCTAATAATGAAGCATGTAATTTTACCACATAAGATTTCGAAGCATGCAAGCTTACCACTTAGCACGTTTTGAATTAATATATAGGGGGATATTAATAGAAAACAACTTATTATAGGTGTAATATAACACGTATGTGCTATTTCTTTATTAGAAGGTCATTAATGATATTGGCTGGATTTTTTTACTAAAACTGATTTAACATTATTCTTATTTTATCTATATAGAAGTCTAAATTAAATACACAAGGTTTTTAAATTCTTAAAAGAATTTATAAATTCCAAATGAATATATCCCGTAATATGATTAATGTTTATCTTTTTTTTTTGTAAACAATACAAAATTATCTTGTATATACAACATAAACCATGTATGCTTAAAAAATTATAAATATGTAAAAGTATCTAAAATCTTTTATATTATTTTTGAAAAATATAAAATCACCTAAAATTTTTCTAAGTGTAAAAAAAATTGTCCAAACAATTGAAAAGTATGTGTTTCATTTTATGGGAGGGCATGTATATAGTAATATAAAATAAATATTGAAATGATATTTTATGGTTGTGGATTTATCAATTTAAACACATGTTTAAAAGTATCTAAAATATTATATTCGTACACATAATAGTAATTAAACATTATATATTTTATGATAGAAAATTTATATAGTAGATATAAAATAAATATCAAGATATTAAGAATTATGATAGAACAATTATGCGAACATACTTTCTGCTACATAAGATTTGAAAAAAGTTGTTACGTGCATAAAAAATTTGTTAAACTAAATACAAAAAGATTTGAAATAAATTATATTTTGTACACGTTTACATGCAAATATATTTGAAAAAAAAAAAGTTGTTCCAGTGTAGAAAAGATTTTGTACGCAAAGACAGAGATTCATGTTAACTTATAACTTTAAAATTGAAGACGCATTTAATGCTACTTTCTTTCCGCGTTTAATGTTTTTGACGGTAAATAATTTCTAAAGTGAATTAACCTTACTATTGTGTATCCCGTGCGCTGCACGGAGGGGTTTTTACTTAAAACCTTTTCTAAGACTTTATATTATACATAGTTATTTATGTTTAACATCTTATTATTATAAAAAAAGAAATACTAAATATGAAAAGTTATATATTATTTATTGGAATATAATAAGTGTCCCAACCAAACTAATAACATCCAATATATGATATATGATAAAATTAATTATATGATCGTCATACTTTTTGAAAAAATATACATATATTTCTAATAAACATGTAAGATCCGCATTTAAATTTGTATTTGGATATGGGATGAAAAATGAATATGTACAAATAAAAAAGTACCAAGAACCTACATAAAATGAGATTCTTTATAAACTTTAAAATATTTTGTAGTTAAGCAAATATTAACAAACAAAATCATCAATTAAGTTGAACTTATCGAATATAAAATATAATTTATGATATCATTGACCATATTTACCCGTTGTATTTAAAGTTATCATTGACCATATTTTTATGAATTAGGGTTTACAAAATATCTTTTTCAAAATAACAATTTTTTTTAATTTGAATTTGACTTTTTCATCCAACCGCCATTTTCCACAAGAATAAAAATAGTATTTTGGAAAATTTTAGACGTGAAAATCAAATAAAATTAATTTAATAGTAATCGATTAATTTAATATTATTCAAAATTGTTTAATTCGGTCAACCCGATCTTAGTGCACGTTTCATTGAAACAATCGCTTACCAAAAAAAAAGGTAATCGCTTACAAAAAAAGGAAGTGAAATCTATCTATATAATATAAATCAGATTTGAAAAAAAAAAGGAAATGAAATTTCATAATTAATTAACTTAAATTGATGTTATTCGATTTATATCAACTCCCTTCCGAAAAAAAAGGAAATATCCGCTTCCTACCAAATCGATTCAAAAAAAGAAGGATTATGATATACGTCCAAATAAATTACAATTGAAATGTAGGCGGGATTATGAAAAAAAAATAAAAAAAACTTTACCGAATGTTTGAAAAAAATAATCGGATTAAAAAAAATTAAAAGGAAAAAATTCAAAACGTGAAATTAAAATTAAAAATGTGAATTAAAATTAAAAAAATTAAAAATACAAAATTTACCAAATCTCAACCCATCAAAAAAAAGGAAAATCGAGTGAAATAAAACGTGAAAAAAAAAAAGGAAAAGCGAGTGAATTAAAAATGTACCAAATCGGATTTTAAAAAAATGGTAACAAATCTCATCTCATCCTAAAGAAAAGGAATTATAACAAATTTAACAAAAAAACAACCAAATCTTATCCTAAAATAAAACAATCCGATTTCCATAAATCACATCCAAAATCAAATTAAGTTAGGCGGGATAAATGAAAAAAATTCAAAAAGAGTTTCCAAAACAGGTAATTTTCGAAAAATTTGAGAGGGAAAAAATGATGTTTAAGCGGGAAATGAAATATTTATTCAAACATTTATTCAAACATTTTTCCTTCTCCGTATTATATAGTAATAGATTCTTATTTTATATATATAAATATTTCCCTCCAACTCACGAACCCAATCCTCGTCGGCAGTCTCTTGAGTGACCGATTCTCCTGAAACCAAATCATCAAGCGAAGGCGGCAAACAATTAGCACCAACACACACAACTTCATCATGATTATTCATAATACTATCCAGCTCGTGGGCCCAATCCACCGTCTCCTTCGAGCCCGACCCTCCAAAAACCACACAATTGCCAAGAGGAATCGACACAACAACACCCGAACTCGAACAATCGGTCGAGCCCTTCCACTGCAGCTCGTGGGCCCAATCCATCGTCTCCTTGCCCGACTCTCTAAAAACCACGCCATTTTTAGGCAACGACACAAAACCCGAACCCAAACACGAACACGAACAATCGGTTGAGCCCTTCCCTTGCCATTTTCGCTTAAGAACACAGAGAGCATAATTCTTGCACTCTTCTTTAATGGCGACTTCAAGGCGGTGTCGGGAAGTACTTACTCTGTTGTCATCAGCCACAAATAGTGATCGTCGCCAGAGTTCATCTTGGCCACCCCTGACCGGTATACCGAAAAGTCCTCCTGTAGCCCAAGATCACACCTTTGTCGTCCCCAAAAATTGGGGTGGCCTGGCCTTTGTTCGACCAAGTCCCCCCTTTCCTCACGTTGCACGAGAATCTCTTTTCGATTTTCTTCAGCCTCGTGAAGAAGTAGTGCTCCATTTCCTGGCGGTCGGCGTCTCCGAAAATGTCGCGGGACTCTTTCAGGCCGTAAAAAGTCGTCGGTGGTTATGAACTGCTCCTCGATCATCGGCCTACACTAGGTGCATATCTTTTACATCAAATCAACTCTAATTATTTTATTTTAAATATTATTTTAATATAAAATCAAAATGACACTAACAATTAAGCATACCATCTTTTTAAAAATTAACATTTTGAACTGATGTATATGTTCCAAACACGCCCTTGGTTATTTAAACTATCAAGATTTGAAAAAATATAATAAATACAACATTATTTATATCAAGATTAGTTTGTTTATTAAAAGATTAATCATGTATTTTCTACATCAAGATTATTTTATTTGTTAGAATATTAATCAAGTATTTCCTACAACATCAAAAAAATTTTAGAGCATTCTCAATGGATAATCTAAATCATTACTAACAAAATATATATAGATGTCAAGATTATTATGTTACCAACAATATATATTTATGGATGTAAAGATTATTTTATTTAATAAAATATATTCAAGATTATTAATATTATAAAAAAAACTATACATATTATATAATATTTGTTTTATTATGGTATTTTTTTATATTGTACTATTAAAATTTACAAAATAAAATTAAATTTTTTATATATATTTATGATAACCTTCCGGCCAGCCGATTATTTGTGCAGAAGATATTTAATTTTCTCACGAAGAAAACCGACGAAGAAAACCGAAAACCTAGTGGAATCATCGTTTCCAGATTTCTGAAAAAAAAATTATGTAAAATTTGTGGTGAACCCTAACGATAAATCTATTATATATGACGAAAAAGAAAAATGCTACAGGTACATAATGATGTACATAGAGGTGTACATAACACTCATGGGTCTTATCAAAAATAAAAAAAAATCAACTGGATCCCACTCCATGTGAGTGTTATGTACATTTATTATGTACTTGTAGCATTGTCCAACGAAAAATATATATATCACATCATTTATACAATCTAAGATTAAAATATATCTTTTTCACCTAAAATTTACAACTAAATTAAAAAAAAATATTATTTAATTTTTAATTTAGAAATGAATTCTAATAGTTGGTTAATTAAAGCTTGTTTTAGATTTTCTAAATATATATGGATTTAAAAATCAATTATAATACAAAGTTAAATCATATTTGAACAAGTTCATATTTAATAATGCAGAACGGGCCTGTTCCGGGCCACATGTTTGTAATTTTTCAACCGCCGAGCTAGTTCCGAAATCAGAATTGGTGTTTCAACCTTTTTTTTTACTTTTTATTTATTTTTCTTTTTTTTTTTATTAGACTGAGTTGACTCATAACCGATGGTTTATTGAACCGGCCCAGAATCGTCGGCCCGGAATTGTCGGTTTATTGAACCGGCCCGTGCATATATTCGGGCCGGTTCAGGGCCTTCAACCCTTGGTCAAGAACCGAGAAATGACTACGTCTAGTTACATAGCCATAACGATCATAAACTTTGACATAATGCACACATGGAAAAGATAATGTGGTTTTACACATTATATCAACTAGGGTTGTTATCGAACTGAGTTGTTTGAGAAAAAAAGTCGTTCGTGTTCGATAACAGCTCGTTCGTTTAGTAATGAATCGAACTCGAACAAGAAATTATGTTCCTTTAGTTATCTAACGAACACGAACAATTTTACAAACAAAAATGTATTCTATAATTTTATATATTATATATAGTATATAGATATATAATATAATATATAAATATTGATATATATTAAATATTAAATAATATAATTTGTATGGTATTAATATAAAAAATGTCAACAAACACAAACACGAAATTGTCGAACAATTAAAACACGAAATGGTAGAAGAATTCGAACAGTTCACGAACTTATCAAACTAATAAACGAACGAACACGAAAGAACTTTTTTGTTCGAATACTAAACGAACGAACACGAACTTATTCAACAATTAGTCGAACTTTAACTTAGTTCGATTCGGATCGAACAACCTTAATATCAACTTAAAATCAAAACTCCTAATTTCACACATCAATTATGTTCAAAATATGAAAAATGCTTCCAGTACATAATAAATGTACATATGAGTGGAGTCAACGTTGTTTATGATAAATTATTTAGGACTGGCATTGGGATTTAAGTAACGTACGGGACTAAATTGAATAAATACAAAAACTTGTGGGTTATGAACACACGTTGTCTACAGTATACAGATAATGTATGCAAAGACACCCCACACTAGCAACAAATTTCATTCTTATCCTTCTTTCTCCCTCCTCCATTTATTCTCCTAAAATCACAGAAAAATCAAGAAAATCGCAATCGCTATTAGCTCCACACAACGTACACATATGTAAAAATGGATCGCTTCCATTGATTGAAGCATCGATTCAAACGAATCACTTGGCCCCAGATGGAGAAAACCGGCAATGGGTTCGTGCGAGCAGATCAGATTGATTTGAAGAGCATCGACGAGCAGCTCGAGAGGCACTTGAGCAGGGTTTTGACCCTGGACAAGGAGAAGGAGAAGAGGAAGAGTCAGGACGATCTCCTCCTCAGGCCCACCGTCGCCGCCGCGTCCGTCTCTGTCGCCGCTGGGAGGCAGAGGCAGGAGTGGGAGATCGATCCATCTAAGCTGATCGTAAAGGGTGTTCTGGCGCGCGGCACGTTTGGGACCGTCCATCGCGGAGTCTACGACGGCCAGGATGTTGCTGGTCAGTCACCGCCCTGTCGCTTTTACCTCCACTTGTTCTTAATATAACTTTCAACTTTTTTAAAGTTCCATTCTTTTTACCTTTTGGGTTTCCCTGTTGTCATTTTCTGTGACTTTTTTTGCAAGTTTTTCGGTGTAGTTATTGGTGGTGCTCTCCTTTGATTGTGTGTGAAATAGTTTGTTACCATTTCGTTAATCTTTTTAAGAATAGGCTTGTAGTAGCTAATAGTGTAGCCGTGTATATCTGGTTGAGCTAATATGAGCCCTCCAAAAAAAGTAATATTGTGCATTAGATTTAATTTAGTAATTTATGGTGAATGATTAAAAATCTATCTGTATTGAAATTTCGGCTCAATTCTAATTTATTGGGTGTTAACGTGATTTGTTCATTGATTTACTGGTATTTTTATTTCCATTCTTTCTTGATTTTTATTTTTGTGGAGATTTGTGGTCTAGCAAAATGAATGCATTCTTATGAAATCCGTGACTTGTGGCACGGACTTGAATTGGTTTTTGAGGTGACTGCAATAACTTGGACTGTTATTTCTCAACTTTCTTGTGATATTCAACCTTTTTTTTTTCTTTTTTGAAAAGTTTAGATTTATTTCTCAAGAAAGACAACTTTGGTCTTCCTAGTTGTCTAGCTGTTTCAGGCATAGCATGATAGATGTGTGCCTTAACTGTATAACAGTTATAAGGGGATGATAGAATAATTAATTGAAGTTCTTGGCTTTCCCTCTATATATATTGTATTACATCGTATTCAGTAATTTATTTTTGTAATGTGCATGAGGCCTCATGTAAGAATCTAGACGTGCTGTAGTTCTTGTTCTCGTATGTACATGTTTTTACTTTGTGGCATTTTAGTCAACTTAGCAATTGTATGGTGAGACTATGAAGTTGGAATTGATATATTATAGTGATTCGTGAAAGACTCAACTCTCAAGAAGCCACAAAAATTTCGAGGTTAACCCTGCAAATTATCTAAGATTTAGCATCAACGTAAACATGTAGCATTTGTGCTTCCATTTATTGAGGATTTATCATATGTGATCTAGTTATTGCACTTCAATACATGAGAAGGGAAAATAAAGGGAACATTTGAAAGATAAAATGTTATGGGACATATATGTTGGCTCTTATCGACGGTTAATTAATGATCCAAAACATAGTAAAAGAGGTCGAATGACAAATTATATGTTCTTAAGGATATTCTAAAGCGTAATCTGTGTGTTACTAAATAATCGTACTAGTTGGTCTATAGTTGTTATGATTTGTCAAAATCATGTGCTTACATTAACAATTGAATAGCTTCATGCGACCATCAGTTAAACTGCTCGACTGGGGAGAAGAGGGCCACCGGTCAGAAGCCGAAATAGCATCTCTTAGAGCAGCTTTTACTCAAGAAGTTGCAGTTTGGCATAAACTTGATCATCCTAATGTGACCAAGGTTGATATTTTCCCTATATGCTGTCATCTTATTTTCATATTGGCCCAAACAATGTTCTGACTTTAGATGGTTCATGTATTTCATCTGTTTATTCATGTTAGAATGTAGGCAATACATTATTATTATTAGCAGTAGTATTTTTTTGTTCCCCCCTAAATTTGTTTAATCCAAATTGCTTCGATTTGGAAATTTGTATTCTTAGTTCAGGTCCTCAGGAGCGAAAATATACAATTTCACACCAAGACTTACAATAAAACTAGCACTGCTTCAATAAAATAGTTAACTTTTTCGTTTAAAAAAAATTCTATTGTAACACTTTTGGGTTCGATACCATATCCCAAAGTCGTTTTTGGTTTTGTTTCATTTAACGAATATCCCATTATTGGACTCTTTAACATTTGTTTAATTAATAGATGCATGTGGTGCAGTTCATAGGTGCTACAATGGGCTCGTCAGGTCTTAACATTCAAACCGAAAACGGTCAAATAGGCATGCCAAGTAACATCTGCTGTGTTGTTGTGGAATATCTTCCAGGAGGTGCCTTGAAGTCGTACCTCATTAAGAACAGGCGAAAAAAGCTTGCTTTCAAAGTAGTTGTGCAGATGGCACTTGATCTTGCTAGAGGGTACCTATTTATTTATTTATTTTTCTCCAAATTTACTCTAAATTCTTTCACTTTCTTGATTTCTGGACTTCACATGTAAACCTGTTAATTTATTAGAGGGTTAACAGGAAATTGCTTTCTCTTTGTAGGCTGAGTTACCTTCATTCTCAGAAGATTGTCCACAGAGATGTTAAGACGGAGAATATGTTGTTAGATAAGAATCGTACGGTTAAAATAGCTGATTTTGGAGTTGCTCGTGTGGAAGCCTCAAATCCAAATGACATGACGGGGGAAACTGGAACACTCGGTTACATGGCACCCGAGGTTTATACGTTTTCTACCTCTTTTGAGAGCATTATTTTTTTTTTTTTAACAGGGAATATATGTTACTCCTTGTTTACATAAATACACTTCTTTGCATATATTGTCACGGTTTTATAAATTTATAAACACCTGCAATTTGTGAAACGAATAGGAAATCCTCCGAAAAGTAATGGAGCTGTTAAATTTACTAATTACTGCATTTGCATGTGAAAAAACAAAACTACTGCAGGTTCTTAACGGCAATCCATACAACCGAAAATGTGATGTGTACAGCTTTGGCATTTGCTTGTGGGAAATATATTGTTGTGACATGCCCTACCCGGACCTTACTTTCTCCGAGGTGACATCAGCAGTCGTTCGCCAGGTAAACAAAATACAAAATATTTTTTTCTCCAAATTTCACTTCTTTTTCCAAAAAAATCCTATCATTCTTAACCAATCACTGTTTTTTTAACTTAAATCTGATTCAATTTTAACTCAACCCCACTATCCTCATATTATCAATATAGTAAATAATACCACTCATTAATTCTTATACATTACATCAACTTTAATTCACTATTCATCAACTCACATAATTTTAACTAACTATACTTCGCATCATCTCTTTTTTATTTTTACATCAAATCAACTTAATTATTTTATTTTAAATATTATTTTAATATAAACACAAAATCCCACTAACAACTAATCAACCAAACCAAAAAATCCAAACATCTTATATCCAAGCAAGAATCTCGAATTTGCCCGGCTTTTATTTTGTCTCATTACAATGTTGTCCACAGAACTTGAGGCCCGAAATTCCGAGATGCTGCCCGAGCTCTCTTGCAAATGTGATGAAAAGATGTTGGGATGCAAGCCCAGACAAGAGGCCCGAAATGGACGAAGTTGTCAAAATGTTGGAAGCCATCGACACTTCGAAAGGAGGTGGAATGATTCCGGTCGATCAGCAGCCAGGCTGTCTTTGTTTTCGCAAGACACGTGGCCCGTGAAACTGTCATTTTGTTGTAAGAATGAAATTTGGAAAATTATTGCACAGTAAAGAAAAGATTAAACTGCCATTGATCTTGAGCTAGAATTTGTGTATTATTTGGATTGTGGTGGATATAGGTTGAGAAAAAAAACTTTGTGGGATGTAAAGTTGTGTTCTTTTTCATGTGGGTTCTTCATTAGAAAATTTCCCATGAATCTATTGGTTAAGATTATAAGAGTGGCTGTCATTTTGTTGTAAGAATGAAATTTGGAAAATTATTGCATAGTGAAAAACAGAGTTGAAACTGCCATTGATCTTGAGCTAGAAATTTGTGTATTATTTGGGTTGTTGGTGGATATAGGTTGAGAAAAAAAAGTTTTGTGGGATGTAAAGCTGTGTTCTTTTTTCATGTGGGTCTTTAGAAAATTTCCCATGAAATTATTGGTTTATTGAAGTACAGTAAGGTTGTTGTTAGGATTGTCATGCAACTATGCTTTTTCACCGGATATGCATATTTTTAAACTGAAATGTCATACTCTAAAGAATAATATATAATATTTTATAGTTTAAGTATGCGTTTTGATTGAAAAATTATTATGATGGAAGATTCTTGTGTGATTTAAATAAAAGCTTGAATAATGGCAAGAACAAATTAAGAAATCTATGATTTTTAACTGCATTCTTTAAGAAAAGTTAGACAAACTAATGAAACACAAGTATGTTGGCCATGCAAAATCAAAACAGCATTTGCATAATTTTATCTATATTCCATATTATGCAACAATACAAAACTGTAAACTTGTGCTTAGATTAAAAGACTTGTACAGAAAATTATTGCCGTTGGTTTTCAATCACACTCGTGAATCTGGCTGGATTTCGGTCTCCGTTTGGCGGGCCGTATTTTCTTGTTCGTTCGAGTTGGTGGATTTGTAGTAAGTCGCGTATAGGATCAATTGCACTAATCCCGAAAGGCAACCCAAAGCATTTGGAACCTATAAAGTAAGTGTGGAACATGTGAGGAATAAAAACTCATTTAGAAGTGCAATAAAATAATAATAATAATAATAATAATAATAATAATAATAAAAGTCGAAAAAAGGAAGACGGTGTATGGTATTAAGAATTTACCAAGACGTACGGATCGAACTTGATGAGCGCGTAAAAGAACCACACGGTGCCATTAGCAAAGTTGGCTAACGACAGATAAAATGGCATGAATTTAACACTCTTGGTAGTTATAACTCGTTTCTGCAGAAAGATTTACCCTAAGTTCTTGATCAAGGTTAAATCAAAGTAAAAAAAAAAATTCACAACTATGAAGTACTTAAAGTTACCATAATCGTCAAGGGTGACGTGTACATGGCGATGTTGAACACGATGCTCACTATTCCAACTAGCATCGACCTTGCCTTGCTTCCATGGAGGCAAAACAAGGTTATGAGGACCACCACAGCCAAGAACACAAATTCAACTAACATGGCTATCAAAATCTTGCTCTGAAAAATTTTCGTTCAACGAGAAAAACAAACATTGCTTATTTTTCACCACGACGAATAAAGAAGGAAGAAGTGTTGCATCATTTTTCTTTTCTTCATTTAAAGGTAAGAAGATGAAAGATTGCAACTTTTTGCATCTCATGAATTAATTGTTTCAAGAACCAAAAATGGCTACATATACATCACTTTTTTTCATCAAAAGTTGCTATCTTTTCATCTTTTTTACCTTGAAAACGAGAAAAATCCTCTGATTAGCTTTACTAGTATTTAAACAGTGTCACTAACGCGTTTGGGCCAATCGGGAGAGTAGATTACGAAAAGGGTGACAAAAACGAGTTCAACGAACAAGCCGATGGCATTGATGGTGAGAACAAGAATGCTGTCCGGATGAACAAACGGCATTCCGTAAAAAACCCACATTGAGCAATTGAGCACTGTCACGACATATGGGTCGGGTTTGAAATTCTGAACCGATTTGGCTTTAAATATCTTGTAAAAAGTCGGCCTGCAAATATGCAAATATGCAGACAACATGTTAGAAACGAATGTTTTTTTTGTGTTTGTGCGAAATTCGAAGACTAGAGAGAAAGGACAAATTACGCAGGAGAAATGAACAGAAAGAAGGAGATCACATTTCCTGCACAAAAAAAAGGATGGAAATAAAAGGATTAAAAAGCTAAGAAAAACAGAGAATCAAAAGTGCCATATCACAAAATTTATCAACCAAAACTGTCATAAATAAGTGTGTTAAACTAAATTTAGACGAATTGGACTCTGATTATCTGAAGGCTAGCAACACTGATTCCAAATCATCCACGCACATTTCAAATGAAATCGTTAAATTTCAAAACATATGCACATCGACTAAAAAACAAATTGCGGTATAGATTGGTTTCGTAAAAGAGAGAGAAAAAAAAAACACGAACCTATGATCCCGACAATGGTTCTTGCCGTTTCTGCATCGAGGGCCATTTTCTTACAACCTCAAACGTGACAGACCGAATACTAAGGGGGAGGATCGTGTTGTCGAATATCAAAAGAGGAATAAAATGTATATTGCAAAAAGGGCGATAGCTTTATCGATCTACGATTGTCTCGACACACCATCAACTTTCGAAGTGAGATCGATTTCAAACCGGTTCTCATACAAAAACAAAAACAAACAAGAAAATGTCGACCTTTTTTCAACACACTAGCTGTCGTTTTTTCGATTTCGTCAAAGATCAAAGCTGTGTGAGTTTGAGCTTTGTATGCCACTTATGGTGTTTGATTTTTGGACAAGAAGATGTTTCTCAGATGTACTTAACAACTTATAAGAGATAAAAATGGGATAAGCTAACAGATGGAACACTATTTAGAACACTATTTAGCTATCAAATTAATTGATGGCTTTTAGTTAAATCACATGTTTAATGCACTTCTTTATATAGTTTAGTGCATTTGTGTATTAATAGAAACAAATTTTATAATTTTGTTATATGGTTGTATTTGCTCTTAATTATTATTTTTTTTATGATAAAAGAAATAAAAGGCCTCTGTTTTTCAGTTTGTTTCCTTATCTCCTGAAATTTTTCCGGTAAAACACACATATTAAGTGGCTCCTCATGCCTATATTAAGTGGCTCCTCATGCTATCTGCCTGATTCGTTTATAAATGTCTTTTTTGTAGCATGACTTTTGAAGTTTTTTATTGAAAAATATAGTATACATAGGTGGCATGGAAAGTATAAAAGACGAGTTTTGGGGTCGTTGATTGTTCCAAGGGTGTTCGTCGGCAAGAATTCGAAACGAATGTAACATTCATTATATAGGTGGCATGGAAAGTATAAAGGCCGAGATTGGTAGTCGCTGATCGTTTGAAGGGCGTTCGTCGGCAAAATTCAAAGCAAATGTCGATAACTTTTGTGCTTGGGTTTGAAATAGCTATTTCCAGAAGTGGAACGACGATTTTGATTGAAATCATTGTGACAAAGTCCAAATTCCACCGGTTGCAACCCATATAGGCCTTTTATTTTATTAATATTTCGTATTTTGTTTCTTTAAATTTGCTTCCATTTTCATTTAGGGTTTAGGGCCTCTATATACATCTGTAAAACATTGTTTAGGGGTATTCAGACTTCATATTGTTTTCAATAATATATATTCCTTTCGTTAATGTTTGTCTTCTACGATTTATCTTTATCGTATAGTGTTAAGTTTAGTCTTGATTGGTGTCTTTCGTTGGTTCGACCATGCCATGCCTGCACTAGAATTATCAGAGTTATCGAGTTTTTTACTGTTGATCCAATCAACCATACCGCGGGCTCACGGGCATTTGGATCCGCCCCTAGCTCAAAGTATTTGAATCTCTAACACTAAATTGATCTACTAATATGCACATTACTAGGGAAAATAGCTCTTGCAAACTTCATATTGAGCAAAACATATTGTCGAGAAAATGAGTTCAGAATAGTTATAGTAGATCAGTTAACATCACTATTTAGTCCATCTTATGTTCAAGGAGCATTTTAATTGCTAGTTTAGATGATCACCTGCATATAATCAGCTGTAATATAATATGATTGTTCAATGTATAAATGTATGTATGTATCCTAATATGTGAGCATGCGTGAATCGGGAATGCGGTCTATACAGTAGCTGAAATAAAAAATTAGTGGCAGGCTAATTTGCACTTGGGCTAAGAGACCTATTAGCAACTCCAAACCCAATATCTACATAAATTTACAATATTCAATAATTATTATATCATAACTGAGAAATATTGATTCAAAATTTTCAAAGAAAAAAAAATGCTCATAACCGATAGAATTGCTGTTCGAGTCGAGCACTCCGTTTCAAGCTCTTGCTTCAGAGATGAGAAAAATGCTATAGTTTAGAGAGGTCGACTTTATTGTATTTGTAAGTTGTACTAACAATGAGAAAACCCAAATAACCAGTAAAAATCTGCAGGAGACGAAGATGAAACAGGCATGTGAAACACATTAAAAACCAATTAGACACACATTTAACCAAAGCACCCAAAGATCAGAATTATGGGTCTTTGAATCGACATTAATAGCGTAAACGAAGGCAACAATCTATATCATAATCTCAATTTAGGTAGTGAGTTACCTATTAAAGATCCCAGCAAGCAACTAGTATTATATTAAGTGAGGCCACAAGAAGATAAAATTCTACAGTTTCTTATAAAAATTTGACGGCTAATACAACTAAGAGTAACCGAGTTTATGCGGACTTAGCGTCTTAGCCTCATTTCTTCTCGGCATTGCTTTCGAGTTCCCTCCTGAGCTGGAGGGAGAAGTCATCATTGACATCATCATCATCCCAGTCATCTTCCCATTGCTGAGTTATTTCTTTTCCTTCTTTGTCATCCCACTCTAGCATAATAATAATAATAATATTTAAAAAAAAAGCACTAGAAACTAAGCATCATACGAACACAATTCACATATATCGGAAAGTATCAATCGATTAACAGAAAAAAATGCGAGATAGTACAATTCCTAAAGCTTGCATAATTTGACTACACTTCATAAGTTACAAGAAATGGAAGCTTTACCCAAAGCTTATACAGAAAAATCACCAGATTGGGCACAAATCAAAGAACAGGGAAAGATTTCCACACAAAGTCAGACAAAATTCGTTCGGCTAAAAAACATTTTACCAAAAGTAGAAATCTCACCTTGATCGATTTCGAATTCCTCGAACTCGTCGTCGTCTTCAAAAAGATCGATCTTTGCTCCCTCTGTAGCTGGTTTAGGTTGTTCAGTCGCCATCTTAGTCTACAAACACAACAGACCAAAAACCCCCCAACAAATTTATACACAGACAAAAAACAATGATGCACCAATAATTGGGTTCAAACCCTAAAAAAACCCTAGCGCCCATTGGCATAAACTGAAGCGTTTGAACAATTACGACCACAATTACAGGAAAAAAATCTGAATGAAAATAAAAATCAACTTACATGGATTGTCGCGGAGAATAAAACTTTGAATTAACAAATGGGATTTTTTCGGAGCAAACGTTTTGATCTTTGCAACTTGCAACCTGGATTATTCTGAAACGATGTACTTATCGCAGATGGCACCTTACGACGTCGTGTGCAATGTGTTGTGTGTAACTCGTGCCAAATTACCAAACGTCCCCTAAGAAACAAAAATATCACTTTGCTCCCCAAACCTCGTATCAAATTTATGTTATTAATTTCTTATTAGGTTTAGCTTAAGGTAATCAGTATATTGATTAAATTTATACAATTAACCCAAAGTTTGATAAGTTTCGAAAAACTCCATAATAAACAAAAAAAGGTGGTCAATTCAAAAAACCATCAACAAATACCAAACTACAAAACATGAATAAAAGAAATATACCAAATAAAATAAAATATATTTTACGGTTTCTGAAAAATTGGTAAGAGCCCCTCGCTATTATTATATTATCTTACACCCTAAAAGAGACAAGTAGGAGCATAAATTATTTCTAAATCAATAAATTTAGAATCGTTTCTAAACCGTTCAACAAAATTCAATCCTAATATAATATATGTTAGAAAATAGCTAGATGNAAAAAAAAAAAAAAAAAAAAAAAAAAAAATGTCAGCAGCTTCTTCCCCAGTAGCTCCATTTCTTGGCAGGTTTTCCAGATGCAAAGCACAAGGTACCTGCATCAGAAAAATCACAAATACTTGTGTTAGTCAGTTTAATGATTACAGAAAATATATACTTATACTTCGAATTTTTCGTATATTGATCTTAAAAAGTATAACATTTGAGTAACAACCTAACATTTTTCGTATATCGATCTTAAAAAGCATAATTGTGATTTGGTATAAATTTAATTCAAATATCTTTTTAACCGAAACGTACCCTCTTGGAGTGGAGGCTGATCAAATGGAGAACACAGAGACTTTGCAGCACCAATGCTTTCTGTTGTGCGGCTAATCACATCCTTCTCGACCGACTTGAGGCATACACAACGTAAATTTTAAGAAAAGAATAATAGAATTTGTATGTATGTGGAAGTACGAAGAAATCTACATAATGCGCGTATCAACAAGTAGTTTCCAAAAGTGCTAAATTGCAATTTTTGGTTCTATTAGATAATGAAGGTAGCAATTTACGTCCCCCACCGGAGTAACATATAGTAATTTTAAGTACTATAAAAATTTTTGCTGCAATTTGCAATTTGTTAAAATGCCTAATTTTGACGGTCAAAATAAATTTTGCTAATCGAAATCCGTCCCAAACGGCCAAAATACTCAAATTGCACCAAAATTTTAAATTATCACTCACTCCAGTGGGACCAAAATTTGCTACCTTCATAATCTAATAGGACCATTTTTTTGCAATTTGCAATGTAACAGTGACGTGTATAAGGAGAAAAGATGATGTGTACCTCCTCATCACACCATGGAGCAAAAATCATCTTCTTATGGTTAAGCGCGTCAACAAATTCTTCCCAAGTGTGCACAATCTGTATGCAAGAATCTCGTTTTTTCTTCGCAGCATCAAAGAGATTTTGTTGAATGAGGTCAAGAATGTTATTGACATTTTCCACCAGTCGAGCCGTGGGTATATCAATCTTGGCTATACTATCACGTCTAACAGCACGAACCTGAACAAGAATAAAAATGCATTAAAAAAAAAAAGAAAGAAAAAAAAAAGTCGTCTAATCTTCTCATAAATCGCACATACCCGGTTATTTGTTAAGTCTTCTGGCCCTATTTCTATCCTGAGGGGAACGCCTTTCATTTCCCAATAGGAGTTCTTACACGCATGCGAATAGTTATCTCTAAAATCGGCCTCAGCACGAATACCGTCTGCAAGCAATTGTTTTACGGTTTTTGTGCATGCATCAAAGATCATGCGAACATTTGCATCATTATCTGACAAATCCGGTATTACAATTGCTTGAAGGGAAGCTACTTTAGGAGGGAGAACCAAGCCTTTATTGTCACCATGAATCATTACCATCAGCCCTAACTGGCATAAATAGCGCAATATGTAACACAACTCTTGAATGTACCGAAAAAAAAATAAAAATAAAAAAAAATAAAAAAAAAATTCACACCCAGAGAGATATACGGGAACTCGATACTTAAAAACCAAAAAATTAACATTCCATCTGGATTTTGATATAAAGATTTGCCCTGTTTCAGTAATTAAGTTCACTGAAATTGCTAAAGAGGAAAAGAGAAGTCTAAAAACACATGACCGAGACGAGGCCTAAACTTAACCTAAAAAGGAACAAAAAAACAAAAAAAGAGGCAGAATATGATATATACACGTTAAATCAAACAAACAGAAGACAACAGAGAAGAAAGACAATAGACTCCTATACACATGCATTTGACAGACAGTTTTGAAACAAGAAAAGTAATGAATAATGAGAAGGCCATTACAGTTCTGGTGGTATAAGCCCATGAATTCTGCCAGACCATGGTATTTTCTCCTTTCTCATTCTCGAAATTAATTTCAAACATTTTTGCGAAATTTTGGCCTAAACAGTTTGAGGTTGCACCTTGCACACCACACCCAGTGTTAGGGACAAATGCCTGTCACGAAGGGAAGTCAACCGTTCAGAAACATAACAGTAATGAAGTCTACTTAATGACAAGTTGACAATGCCACAAAACAACACAACGTGATATTTCCACCTCAACAGTAGTTGTATAAAGCCCACCGGCAAACTTCTCATGCTCGCTCTTCGTGCCTTTAATAACTGGAACAGACAAGAACTCTTCATATACGCGTCTATACAGCTCCAAGATTTCAAGCACCTGAAAATAACAAAGAAAAAGTAAGCCATAGATGCCAATTGAATTCAGCATCTCGTAGCTAAAGAGTATAGACAGTCCACAAATTGAGACAAATTATAAGCAGAATAAAGAAAAACTTTCGACAATGAAAATCAACTTAAGATCCCCTAGTAGAATCTAAAAAATGGGGCAAATAAATTGATTTTAAGAGAATTCAGCAATCAGATAAGGAACACTTCAGTCTTTCTCATAACAAGTCAGAGTTCCTGGCTCACATCACAAGTCCAGGACACAAACAGCATTCTTATGTTCTGTTAGTTTTGACTACTATTGGCCAAAAAAATAAATTTCTCAATATTTTCACTTTTGCATATGGATCATTTGGGTATTTTCATTTCCATAAGCTACCAGGGCCTTACATACCTCTGTATCTGCTTCCTCCTTGGTCGCAAAAGCTGTATGTCCTTCCTGCCAAAGGAACTCACGACTTCTACAGGATAGAAATTTTTTCAAACGATAAATTAAAAGGGAAAAGAGATCCTATCAAATATCATCTCATGCATCACAACTCGAGTCAGAAAATCAGTGATAATATGAACGAGATGAATTAATACTAATTACTAAACAGGATTCACGATGAAAGGGCACCTGATAAAAGGGGTTGGATTGCTGAGTTCCAATCTTACGATATTACACCATTGGTTAAACCGCAAAGGCAGGTCACGATGGCCTCTGATCCACTTGGAAAAATAAGGATACATGACAGTTTCACTGGTTGGGCGAATGGCAATGGGTAACTTTAGTTCGGATTCCCCAGACTTTGTAACCCATGCAATCTATAAAATTGATAAAGTAAAAGTTATGAACTAAAAGACATCACTCGTGAAAAGGGATTGAGATGAGTATTTCATGTATCGGAAGGGCATAGTATTTGAAGGCAACCAAAACTCCCAGTAAATAAGTGCAGACTGCAGAAAATAACAGGCATAAGTTTTCATTAGTAGTTTGGTGAATCTTGGGCCAAAACAGTTTACTCACTGATACAACTAAAAGTTGATTGCTGATCAACATTCCCAGTGTGTTCACAAAGGCAAGAGCAAAGTTCAGCTTTCAAATCGGTGGCCACAAGCCAAAAGAAAAGTAATCTCACTCACCTCGGGAGCAAGCCCCTTTATATGATCATTGTTCTTTTGGAGGTCACCAGGAGATACAAACAGAGGAAAATAACAGTTCTTGATTTTCATTTTCTTGATTTCAGCATCAAAAAAGTCCTACAAAGAAATAATGTAAAACAAAATCAGCAGCAGACGTTCTTATCCACTCAAACGCCTTATTTCTAGTGAGAAATGCTAAGCATAGAAACCTTTCATTGTATTCCTTAATGTTTTCACTATGGATTCACAACGCAAACGTAGCATTGATATTAGTTAATCAGTGACCAGAAAACTCTAATGTATCAACAAACAGAAAAAGGGATAGAACGATTTAACACACTCTTAAGGAAATACATAGATTTAACACATGAGCTCTTTATGAAATACTAAAAGAAAACCAAATGTAACTTGAAAAAGATGTCTTTAGAAATCCTAATGTAAAAGATAAGTTACACTAAGAGTCATAGATAGCAGACATTTTTTCCCTAGTGAAAAACTGCGGATGTTGCCTAAAATACGAAGGGGCTTCATAACAAAGAGCTTTCAATAACCAAATCCTGCTCGATCAATAACTTAATAAAATAGTTTTCTTCAATTTGAGTAGGAGGATTACGTAGTAACTAGTACTTACTTTCATGATCTCCCAAATAGAGATTGCCCATGGTCGCATTACATAGCAGCCAGATATGTCGTAGTATTCAATCATTTCTCCAGTAACAACAACCTGTAGCCAACTCAAAACCAAATGCTTTTATAAATGAAAATATCTTGGATAATATGGGCTTTCATTCTTATTCGTGATATGAAGGCGGACCAACAAAGCAGAAACACAAATTGAGAACAGGGCTTATACCACACCCCTACACCACAACACACACACAAACAAAAATTTGGCAAAAATTTTGATTGATCAAAGAAAAAAAGCATTGCTTGGACATGAATATCTTCTTTGATTTCACATTATACGCATAAAAGAGGTAAGAAGAGGAAGCACAGTGAATGAAAAGTATATGCATTCATTTGAATTGCTCGTAATCATACCTCCGAGTACCATTCAGCAAAATTTTCATCTTTCCTGAAAGAAAGCTGGACAGTTTCACCATCATCTGTTCTTCCCATGGATGGATTAGCTGATAGAATATCAGAAGATTGAGAATCATATCCAAGAGCTATATGGGCCCACAAGTAAGGTCATATAACATAAATAAAAGGAATAAATCTAGCTTCTCAAAAGACAATAAGACGAAACTCATCACCCACAGATAAAGAAAAATTGTTACCTACAATACTCACTTGTTCTAGAGCTGCCAAAATATGTACATGCCATGTAACTAGGCACTACCAAACCTTTTTCTAACTTTATTGCCAGAGGGTATTCAGATAAAAGTAAATATGCCTTTTCGTTTGCGGCCTTGGCACACAGGATTAACTAAAACAAAGAGGAAAAACAGAAAATATCTAGGAAATGCCTTTGGCCATCGAAAGATGTGAGCTTTACTAAGAGCAATAGCTTCCCGACCACAATAAACCGAAAAAAAAAATACAAAAAATCAATATTACAAATTAAATAATCAGCCAAAAAACACATATAAGATGAATTTCGGGGGGTTTCACTTTNGCAAAAGCACAAACAAATCAAAAGGTTCCATTGATTTTTAGGGAGATTTGCGCGCAGTCGAACCAAGCAAGAAATCCCAATAGCTGGGACATCAAGAACCAAACTTGAATAATGTTACTGCACCTTGTGAACGGGATAAAAGTTTCCTTCACCAAGATTCTGAATTGTGTTTGAGGTCTTGGACGCCACAGTAACAGCCGCAAAAGGAAGACGATGGCGAGTATTTTGAGGGGAATAAAAAAGAGAGAGATATCGCCGCTATATATAAGTTTGGGTTTGGAATATTTCGAGATCCTATGTATAAATTTTGCTATGTTGTTGGTCTTTGATGAAATTTAATTTATTTTTAATTCAAAAGTAATTAGGTTTTTTTAAAAGTATTAATTATGTTTAATATAATTATTTCATATTATAGAGGTAGTTTATAAGGTATAATTTGTTTCCAAACTTTCTTTTTTTTTTCTCATATTTCTTTTAAAATTATAACAAATTTACAAACTTAAATTATAAATATGTTTTAGAGTTAATATTTTTTTATTTATTAACATTTTTTTATATATAATATATCAAATTAATCTTGTCTTTATGAGCTTCAATTTGACATCTATAGTATACATACAAAATAAATAAATAATTTTATTTGTCCTTATAATTAAAACTAAATTACATATTAATATTAATTCGAAAAAATAAAATTATTTAAAACTAACTTAACTACAAAGTAGTTATTTGATATAAATTAAAAGAAAATTATAATATAAGATGTAAGTCGTATAAGTAACAGTATCATTTTAAATATAAATAATAGTGTATTTCTTTAGAAAAGCGTTTAAAAATTAAAACAATTTCTGTTGTTATTATTTTTAAATTTTAAATATAATTTTCTTAACAAGTATCCGTGTAGGACATGTGTATTATACTATTATTTAAGAAATAAATTTACTTATAAATTATAGATCTTTTATTATTAGAATATACAAATAAATATAATATAAATATTATTTAATTTCTTAAAATTAAGTTATTCGATTCAATTAATATGTGAATGACAATTGTATCGGAGATCTGAAATTTCTCCCAACTGGATTTTAGAACGTTGTGAAGAAGACTATTATGGCATGATTGATAGGAAGGAATGACATGGGAATGAAATGATCATTTCCTTACTCATTCCTTATCCCATGATTGGTATATTTTTTTAGAAGAAATGACAATTCCAATGGGAATGGCAAAACCTATCTCCATGAGATTAGGCATTTCATAGTAAATGAAAGGTTTTTTCATTTCCATGTGTGTAGAAATCAATTTTTCAAAAAATAAAATTAACAAATAATAATAAAAATAAATATATAATGTATATCATAAATCATGATTAAACTATATTAAATAAAATTATTTAAAAAAATTCAAATAAAAAAATTGAAAACTTACTTTGATTTATTTTTTTAATAGATATATTAAATACTTATATAAAAATAAAACTAAAAAAAGCATTTATATATAATTTAAAAATATATTATTTTATTTTTATATGTTATTAAAAATATATTATTTTTTATATGTTAAAAAAATATTACTATTAAAAATATATTATTTAAAAATATTAAAAATATATATTATTAAAAATATAAAAAATTTTATTTTTAAATATTATTAAAAATATATTATTTTTCAAAAATAAAATTCAAATAAAAAATAGAAAACTTACTTTTATTTACTGTCTAATTAAAAAATAAAATATATATTATTAAATATATATTACTTTTTATTTTTAAATATTACTAAAAATATATTATTTTTTATATATTAAAAATATATTATTTTATTTTTATATATTATTAAAAAAGTATTTATATATAATTTATTAAAAGTATATTATTTTTAAAAAAATATTTTATTTATTTTTATAATAAAAAATGATAATGTCATTCCATTCCAATCATATCCCTTCTGCATACCAAACGCATCAATGACAAAACATTTTTCATTCTATTCACATAATCATTCCATTCTTCAATTCATTTCATTCCTACGAAATTTCATTCCATTATAGTAAGACATACTTTTAAATATATGGCCTTGTATTCCTTTTGTAAAGTTTAGAATTTTAACTAATAATAGTATAACAATACTTTTACATTTCCACATCAACAAAATTGGGATTTTTTTATGCCTCAAAGCACAACATTGATTCACAATGACACAATGTACTAACTATTTATGAGTAATTCCCAATATCACATATTAACCAAATGAACGTTCCCAAACAAAAGTTCATTCGATCTTGTTCATGTTCGAAAAGAACTCGTTCATTTGTTAATTGAGTCTAATTCCAACAGAAAAATAAGCTCGCTTTGTAATCAAACGAACATGAACTATTTATGGGCAATTCTTAATATCACATATTAACGAATTGAACGTTCGCGAACAAAAACTTGTTCAATCTCGTTTGTGTTCGACAAGAGCTCATTCGTTTGTCAATCGAGCCTAGTTCAAACTAAAAATTGAGTTCACTTAACAACCAAACGAACACAAACTCGTTTGCGAACGTTTAATAATTTTCGTGAACATTAATTTAATATAATTTCATTTTATTTTTTATAACATTTATATGATACTTTTAATAAAAACTCTAAAACGTACTTTTTTTTTCTAAGTTCGAAGAACACATTAATAAAGTTTGTATCCTAAATTATTCGAACTCGAACTTTGACAAGCAATTGAACTAACGAGCTCGAACGCTCGTAATATGAAAGAACGAACACAGTGTTCGAACATAAATAAACACAAGCTCGAAATGCCCAAGCTCGGCTCGTTCGGTTCGATTGCAGCACTATCACATACTACACAATCCTATTCACCTCAAAAACTCAGTACGGAAACCACAATCGTCCAAGCTAAAATTCGGGAACTAAGAACGAATGAACGAACGACGCATATAAGGAGTCAAAAAGCTTAAACAATAAATAACCATAGGTAGCTAACCGAGAGTTCACTGGAGAAAAGCTTCTCATGGCTTCCTAGTTTAAAAATGGTCTTTTGACAAAACAAAACAAAAATGAAAAGAACCGAAAAATGTGGCAGTACTTGAAGTACAGTATATCAAAGTATCGCCACTTTAGATACAAATATATATATATATAGATTATATATAAAATATATTATGTCACCCCTCACGCCTTGAGATCATCCGACATGGCTGATGGAATACAGTGGGTAGTAAGAATATCCAAAGTAGCCGCTTTCGCATTCTTTGTTTGTAGAACGACAATCTGTACAATTTAGAATATTGGAGTTATGTATATATCGCAAAGAAAAACCAAACAAATATGCATATATATAATATAAAAGAAGAGGACAATGAATAGAAATGTGACCTGCTGGTATTCCAAGTCGAATTTCAAATATTCATCATCACAGCCCTCTACCATCCTAGCCAAGCTCTTCAGGTTCTTCACGGGCTGACCATTAAAGGCGTGAACCTAGAAAGAAATCCAAACAAAGTGGGGCGAAAAACATTACATTAACTGAAAGGAAAATGTGACAGCGGTTGATAATCGAACAAGGAGCACCGAGCACAAACCTGAGTGTTGACAATATCCTCATATCCAATGTTGATGTCAGCCACAAGGACCTTCGAGAATTTCACAAGCGAACATAGTGTTTTGAGTGAAGGATGAGTATTCTAAACTCTAAAATAAAATATCAAAGACATGTGATGTGAAGATTAACCTGGGAAACAACGACAATTTGTTCCTCCGGTGATTGAGGCATCTCATGTAGGAGCTTGTCCAACAACTTAACTGGAGCTTCATACTCGTAATCTTTTCCATACTGAAGAATTTCAAAGAATATCATAATAACTAATAGATAAATTCGACCTTTGAAAATTGACAATGGATTTCCTTTCATTTAGATTACCACTATGTTCATAACAAGAACAAACATATGCGGCGAAAATGAAATCTGTTTGGGGAGTAACAACCGACTTTCAATGATCGACTACACAAATGTTGAAACAATTTTACACTAACCTCTGAACGGAGATATGGAACTGAAACAGTTGTAAAAACAAAGCCAGCAATAATGTAATATGAGGGAGGTTGGCCTTTGTTGTGAGCTGGAATGAGCCTTCTATGAGTACGAAGCTTGACGTTGAACTTCAGAATTTTAGAATCACGAAGAACTTCAATTACAGCATTATCTCCAGTATACTTCTGCGAAACAAGGTAACTAAAGCCTATACGCTCTCCATGCCTAAATGGAACTGCAATCAACCATAACATGAGTTACGTGTCTAACAATGGTAGTCCAATTAAAACAAGTGATTGTTAGCGACATAATTTTTTTTTCAATAAAATTTAAAATAGAACGAGATTCTTTTTCACAGCACAATGTTTCGCGCAGATTGGTAAAAATAAATGCAGTAAGTTGTTAGAGGAATTTCGAAAATCAGAATTTGGTCACACAAGCCTACAAAAAGAATTTGGTTATCTGTGCGTGTTACCTGTTCCATCATTGGCAATATCAACGCCATCAAATCTGAGGATGATATCTGATGGTTTCAAGACCTGGAACTCTGGAGAAGTGGGGTCAACTCTTCTTATGCGTACACCCTTCTGATCAGATTTCATCCCCATGGACAACCGCAAGTCTGGATTCTCCATCTTCTGCCACTCAACCCCGAGAATAGGAAATCCTAACGGACAACACAAAATACTTCATGCGGCACAAAGGATTGGGTAGACAATTATTTAAGAGTAATGCTACAAGTACATAATAGTGTACATAAAGATGTACATGACACTCACCTTTAGTGGGTCCTACCAAAAATAAAAATTAAGTGGACCCTCTATATAATTACTATTTTTTTTAAATAGTAATTATATTTGAGTTCAATATACATCCATTTTAATCTTTGTGGTGTTGATCCATGTTTTTTGTATGTTAAGCTAAATCTTTATTCTGAACAGCCTCTCAACCCCAGATAAGTACAAAGAAAGCTAGGTGTGGTGAAAATCCCAGAGTGATTATACCTGTATATCTTCCATTCTTTTCATAATCTTTGATGAAGTGCATGATAACAGGTGTTGGTATTACATAACCGATATTCTCCGCGTCATCATGCTTAAGTGATTGGAATGCAATACCGACACAGTTTCCCTTGTCATTAAAAGCAGGCCCCCCAGAATTGCCAGAGTTTATAGCAGCATCTATCTGCAGAAGAGCATTGTTTGTCACGCGAAGTTGGTGTAATTTATCTAGAGACCAAGGATTTAAAAAT